GGGGGGGGGGGGGGGGGGGGTGCGGAATCTGGACCATTCGCGACGGTGATGGAAATATTAGCCAGTCACTGAGTGTGAGCTTATAGGGGCAGGGTAGGGGGCTTTGGGCGGATGCGAGTCACTCAACGGGGCTTAATCCGCAATGCAACACAAGTTTGGTGGACCTTCATGCTCGAACAGCTGGCGCAGGAGCATGGACTCCAGCTCAATCAACACAGAGATGCGTCATTTGGTACGCATCAGAAGCAGGCAAGACGTTGCTGTCATCGGCTCGAGAAGGTGCGAGCATCCGCTCCGCCATGTGAGCTCCTGTCGTACACCTCACTCACCACTCGCGATTCCTCACCGCCCAGCATCGCGCTCCCGCCTCTGATCACCCACCCTTCATGGCGCGACCGGCCTCGATCATCGTATGCATGGCATGCGAGCATCGACTCGTGGCTAAGTTGGCTCAAAGTTGGATCATCCGCCTAGCGCTCGCGGAATGCGCAAGACTCATGAACAATAAGGAGCAGAAGCGCCACATTTGCAGCTCCGATGTTCGCTCTTGAGCCGTACGCATGCTGCTGCTGGGCGTAGTTGCGCCCACCCGGCATGCAACAACTCCACCGTTCAACAGCAGTCATAGGCTTGCCTTTGACAGAGATGTTGAGGTGAGTCGCTGTTTCGAGAGTCGTCCGTGCATACCCACCATGAGTGGGCACGACTTTGATGACCATGCAGCGCTCAATCATGCTGGTTGATAGTTCGTGATGCACTGCGGCCCGTGGCCATGACTGTTTGGTAGGAACTCGGCGGCGCAATCACTCGTGACCACGTCAACTTACACTGCCGCGTGATATACAGGCAGGCAATGAAGCTTGGCAATCGCCAAGCAGGGGGGACGACCGACGCTTGACCAACGAGCCCTGCTCGTCGACTAGGCGGTAAGTGTTCAGCGTAGACGGACAGCACGCAATCCACAAGCTATACTGTAGGGCCTTTGCCGCTTGGGTATGCTGCTATGATGAAGAGGTTGCATTCAGCCAACCACGCAGCTCCGCCACGCAGCTGGATTCCATCGCGGACTTGCGAGACGTTGCTGTGGCGGTCGTTTCCCGGTCGCCGATCTGAGATCTTCAAAGGCCGCTGCATGGTCCACAATTTGGCTCACGACTCGTGAGTCTTGCATCATCAATCAGATGGTGAATGCAAAGGGCGCCGGCTCGTCTTAGCCCAGGTCACCCACCGCATGGCAGCCTTATGCTGACAGTTGCGAGTCA